TTGTAATCTTTGTCATGACTACATAACTCTCCCATTTTAGTGCAAAAGGAGCCACAGGCAAGACAAATAAATTACTAGTTGTATTCCAATAAAACTTTATTTATGGACACTGAAATTAAATTTCATGTACTTTTCACATTCAAGAAATATTATTCAACCATCTGGGGGATGGTCATGATGGAGACTCAGACTTTTGGGGGGAGGGGGGAAATGGGCATTTATTGAAACCTTAAAATCTGTACCCCCATAATATGCAGAAATAAAAAAAAAAGAAATATTATTCATTTTTCGATTTCTTTTTCAACCATTTACAAATGTAGGAACAATTCTTTGTGGGCCACATAAAAACATGCTGGATTTGACCTGTGGGCTGTGGTGTGCTAATCCATGGACTAGATTAATTTATTGATCTACAGTTAAGAATTCAGAGATAATATGGTGTTATTTTCTCTCTGGTTTCCTGTTGTTTCTTAGCTGTGTAACGGAATTCCATCGACAAGGAGCTAGACTTGAGGTCATGGAAAAGGGATATTCAAATTATTTGATTCAATAAATACACATTGATAATCTGCTGTGCAAGTCAGATCCTGAAAGTCCTAGACACTGAAGGAGGTTATAATTCAGAGTGCCAGGAGGAAATGGATCAAACCTTGGGGCTTAGGCAAAAGGACTCTTCTCTGTATGATTTGTCAATAGGTATAAAAATACAAATATTCTTTGTCCTTAATCCTTCATTTCTGGGAATTTATCCTAAGTAAATAATTAAAATTGCATACAATAGAAACACAACATCAAGGATGTTTATTACAATATTATTTACAAGAGCAAAAAAAATGGAAATAAACAACAGGATTATCAAACAATGACATTGTTATTGTCCGTATTAAACAATGGAAACTTTTAAATAATTCATGGTAATATTCTTTAAAGTGGACTATTATGTAGCCATTAAAAAGTATGAACTTCCCCGTCTCTACAATAAATAGAAAGAAATTAATTGGCCAACTAACATATATAGAAAAAAATTAGCCGGGCATGGTGGCTCATGCCTGTAGTCCCAGCTACTGGGGAGGCTGAGGCAGTAGGATTGCTTGAGCCCAGGAGATTGAGGTTGCTGTGACCCAGGCTGACACTACAGCACTCACTCTAGCCTGGGCAACAAAGCGAGACTCTGTCTCAAAAAAAAAAAAAAGTATGATGTATAAGAGTATGTATCGTCGTGGAAGGATGTTCATGAGGCAGCAAGCAGGTAACAAAACAGCAAAGACAAAGTGATCTCATTTTCGGTTTTAGAATTGAAGAAAATGTCTAGGAGGATAACCAAGGTGCTATCGTTCATCTCTGAAAGATAGGGCTATGACTGGTTCTTAATTTTTTCTTCTTTTATTTTTTTCTCATTTTTAATTCATTCATTCATTCAACACCTATTTATTAAGCACCTATTGTGTTCCAAAACCTGTTTTCCTACAGTGGAAACATTATATTTTGTCATTTTTTAGAAAATGAAACATTTAAAAGAAGAAGAGACAGTCCCCAAAAGTTAGTGTAAGAATGTACGGGCAGTTGGGGTGAGTTTCATGGGAGCCCCGCCATGGAAAAAGCACTGAGGAGATGAGGGCCAGAGTGAATAGGGCAGAGGCAGCTGGGAGCTGAGTCTCTGAGACACCTACAGTTATATGGGAAGCAATTGTTAGCCAGACTGTGTACACCTCTGTCACTCTTTCTACCATTTTTCAAAACCAACCCTCATAACCACCTCCCAGCAAAGATCTAACCTAATAACACAGTCCTATAAGGACCCCTTGTTCTGACAGACGAGTGAAAAATGAAAGAGACTTTTGGGAAGTCTACTTATTCAATTTGGAGATTAAGAAAAAAGAAAAAAAAATCATAGTGACTTAATACAATATCCTAATTGTGGTAGAGTCTAGACTGCACTGGATCGTTTGGGCAAATTTTGACATCTTTTGTCAAGCAGGGTGTGTTTTAAAGCACATACAGCAAAGTTTCAGAATGGTGTTGATAGAGAAGTAGGAAAGCAAACATTTCCATGTTTTTCCTGCAGACCTCTTTGATTTGCTAGTTTCACTGAGATATGTAATCTTTTCAGGTGCTGAGTTTAAATATTTATTCTTCTGACATTCAAGATGTCAGTCATTTTCTACTGCATTTTAGGTTATCCCTCTGTGTGGTTCAGAAAACCACTGAGATAAGAAGAATTTACAGGGTTATCTGAAGATATAGACATACAACCCAAAGACCTCTAGGTGTCCATATTATTTCAGCTATGAGATTTTTATTATGAAAACTTGGGTATGATAGCGATTAATCTTAATACCAGGGTGCATTGCTTTTGGTGAATTCTTGTGTGAATTCCGACAGATGTGGCTTCAAACACACAAATGCCTTGTTGAGAGCACTTTTACAAAGGGAATAATGATTACCTTTCTATGGAGAGGAATTAGGGTCCAAAAGAACTTGGGAGCTTCTTAAGTAGAACTCATACTGCACCTTCCACTTTGTCTTTATCATTTCTTCCCCCACCACACACACACACACACACACACACACACACACACACACACACAGAGTGCCTATTTCATTTCCTGCATCTCTCTTTTCCCATTGACATTGGATAACTCTTCCAGCCTCCTAAAATAATAGTTCTAGTGTGTAGCTGGCTGACAACCCAACATACAATCAAAACTATGCTGGCCAGATATATGTAACTGCTTCTCAGCCATTGCTGATCCATCTGTCACTTTCCATACATTGGGTTGGAAAAAGCATTCAGTGAGCAGAGACAGTCTACCAGGCGTGCATGCATGTACACATTACATACACACAGAGACACACACTCACTTGCCCTGTATGGGATTATGTGGATGTGTGTATTTATCTAGAACATAAGCCAATATTTTTTAACAACAGTTTTACCTCCATTTACATATAAGTTTGTTGTTGTTTAGTTTCAAAATCAGCTATCCCTCCCTCAAAAGGAAAAGACCTGGAATGTTGCTTTTACCACTGCCATTTTTCAAAAGATCCTCATCTGCACACCAGAGAGAACCAGCTTGGGGCACAAATATTTGCACCAGCTATTTTGCTCCTACAAACACTCAAAGTTGCAGCAATAGTGGAAACAAAAAAGAAACCTAGAAACAGTTGTTTTAGTCTTTAATAGAACACTTAATTTTCCCATTAATGTATGAAAATTCTCCAGATGCTGGTTATGAGCTTACATTGCTACTTTTATTTTTATCAATAATAATCACAGTTTTTATTGGGCACTTCTTTTCCAGAGAGCTCTAAGAAGTTTATGCAAATCATTTTTTTAATCTTCACACCATCTTTGAGGCATAGCCAAGGAGTAGATCATTTTATCCCAATCGAAATGATAAAAAGAAATTGGTACACATGTCAGCACAGGGGAGGACAACCAGCCCTTGGAATTTACTCTTGCTCTCCTCCAACCAATATTTTCTCCAGCCATTGCCACTCTGCTGACAGTGATCTTTTAGAAAAGTAAGTTAGGTTATGTCTTTCAGCTGCTTGCACTGTGGCCTGCAGCAGCCTGCCTGGTCTGTCTGCCTGCAAGTGCCTCTCCCTCACTCACCGCACTCCAGTGTTACTAGCTGCATAAGGATGGGTACTCAGAAGCATTTCCAGAGACAAAAATATATGTGAGAACCATTTATTAGGAAGAATTCCAGGAAAAAATAATCAATAAAAGAATGAGGAAGAGGGAGTGGGAAGGGTAAGGAAGAAACCGAGCAAGGTGAGAGAGAAATCAAGCAAAGTCCCAGTGGGGATATCTTCAGCTCGGTTCCACCAGGGAACTCTGAGAAGGACAAGAGGGCTGGCGAACTTATACTCCCACACCCAACAAGTCATTGGTTAAGGGCTGCCCAGGGGGATATACACTTCTAGAACTTGAAGTTCTAGGACTTGCAGGCAGCCTGAAGGCAGCCCTCCAACAAGGCAATGCAGGTGCTGCTACTGGGAGGGAAAACACACCAGTGGCTAATGAATCTAAAAGGGTGTGGGCAGAGCAGTGACAGTGACTGTCTTGCGGGGGGGCTTCTGCTCCTCAAGCACGGCAGGGAGGAGTCTTGATGCCCCATCAAGGTCTGCTCTCCTCTGAAACTCTCTCCCCCTGGTCTTCTGTGTGGGTGCCTTCTTTTTCTTAAGGTGGTCTCTGCTTAATTCTCACCCCCTCACTCTCCTGTAAATGAAAATGAAACTGTTTAAAGAAGTTCTCTCTCAACCCATCCCTGAGGCAACGCCCCTGTTACATCCCTCTTGGCACTTGTCACGGTCATTGCTTGCAGTCTTCCTGTCCGCTGCCCCAGCAGGATGTAAGCTCCCTGAGGGCAGGGGTTGTGTTTGTCTTGCTCTCCACTGTAGCATGAGCACCTGGCTCAGCTTCCTGATACCCAGGAGCCACTCACTCAACCGGTGTTTCTTTAAGAAGTGAATAATTGAATCATAGTTTTTTTTTTCACAAAACAAGTTCATGTACTCTGCTATAGATAGCAATTAATTTTAAGATACCTAAAAATAAACTCAGAAGAATAGAAAATATTTTCATGATATTAAAAGCCTAAACTCCACAGTAATATATTTACAAGCAAAGGCCAAAATAATTCAAGTATAATCAAAACAAGAAAGTAAGTGAAGTATGAAAGTTTTTCCCTTCTACATTGAGTGGAAAAGTCAACAAATGGTAGAAATGGGAAAACTAAAAAAAGGATTTCAGGGGGGGATGCTTCTATTTTAATAAACCAGATTGTTTCTAAATTGGGTATGGGAACTTCTTTCACACATAATGTTTATTTTTATATTACTCTCCCCCCTAAAAATAGGTGTTTACCATGTGAGCTGAGCTTACTCAAGTTTCCTGTAGTAGATGGATGCAAAAATGGCCCCAGTTCTTTTCTTCCTATGTTCAATGGGAGTTTGTAGTTTCCCCCTACCAAGAGGCATTATCTGTTTCTTCACCTCTTGAATCTGGATTGCTTTTGCCAGTAGAATGAAGTCAAAGTAGCAATGTGCCAGTTCAGATCCTAGGCCTCAAGAGAACTTCTGTGCTTCCACTCTCTGTTGGAACCCTGCCATTGCCATGTAAGCAAGTCCAGACTGGCCTGCAGGAAGGAGGAGAGACCACAAGGAGCCAGGTTGGTTCATCCTAGTTATGGCCGTCCTAGACCAGCCAGCCCCAGCCAACCCCCAGCTGACCACAGGGACATGAGTGAGCTCAGAGAGATTGAGATTGGTCCAGTCCAGTCCAGATCAGTGAACCCACCCAGCAGACACACAGACTTGTAAGGAGTAATAAATGGTGGTTGGTTTTAGCTACTACTTTTGAGATGTTTGTTACACTACACTGGCTAACTGAAACATTTCCCCCAGTCGTTATGCTAGAGAACCAAGCTGGACCTGAGTCTCACAACAGCTTTGGTGGATCTCTGTTTTCTGTATTTTATTGTTAATGCTTGCTGTGTGATTTTCAAGTCAGTTTAAGAAAAGAAGCCATCCCAAAATTATTTAGTATAAGTGATTAACATTAAAAATAAAAAATAAAAAACCTCAACAGGCAAACTCTGTCAGAACAATAGCTCTTTCAAACCTCCAATAGTCTACTGAGGCTTAAAACTGAAGAGTCTACTTCAGCAGAAAAGGCAACACACACGCAAAAATAAAATAAAATACAGAATACTGTCTAGTCCCACTCCCTATTATACCAATCAACTACATTCACTAAGACTTATGTACTTTCTTCTTAACTTTATAAATAATTAGCTATGATTTAATAGTAAGAATGAGATTAAGTGAATCGCTGTTCATTTTTTTAAGCTACAGTCGTACGTGGGATTTTGCTCTTGTTGTTGCTTTTACCAGATCATCTGCTGTTTCATTGTCCTGTGCAAAGATAAAAATCTAGACACCTGCCAAACCAAAAGAAAAAAGAGAAATAGGAAAGAGGAGGGGGGAAGAGGGAAGCTTTGTTCAATGTAACTGCTCATTGGCCTGTATGAAAAAAAAAATAACGAATAAACAACCTGCCACAAATTGAGGTGTATGTGGAGGTATAGACCTTTAAAGCATATCTCAGTTGCCACAGTTACCATTTTGCAAAATGAAGCGACAGAATTATCAAATGAAAATTTGGCTGCATTTCTCATGGGGGTCCAATACATTTTTTTTTTATGTTGATAGCCTTTTTCTCCAAATTTGGGTGTGATAGTTTCAGTTCTAATTGTGCATTGTTCTAGGGAATGGCTCATTTTCCGATGTATTTTTACTGTGTCAAAAGCTGGAATTTTTAAATCATTCTTTCTTTTTGATTCTTTGTCTTCTTCCAAACATAAATGCCTATACATGTATTGATTTATATTAATAATCAAATAAAAATTAGTTTTATTAGAAATTCAAAGTTTACCTTCTCATATAGAATCTATCATTTTACTTGCCAAATTTTGTAGTTGTGGTATCCTGCGATTCGTTAAGTCACCCTGTAAACTTTAATTTATTCAATGTAAACCTTCAAGAATTCTTTACTTCCTTGGATGAAATAATAATAGACACTTGTCTGACCCTTTGTTCTTGATTTTCATAGTTGTCATTTTTTGCAGGACTCCCTAGAACCTATCTTCCTTTTCTTAATTTCCTAATTTCACTCTGAATTTTTGAGACATGTGGTTTGGGTGGGATTGATGCCTCTCCCTGTTCCATCCAGCCATGTATTTGCTTAAGCCAATCAGTGTATCACATCTACTGTGTATATACTCTTAGGCCTGTCAATGTATCCTTTTCACACAGCAATTGGTTCAGGCATGGAAACATGACCCAAGGCAAGCCAATCAGGGACAAGAACATGACCTAAAGTGGACCAATAGGAGAAGGGAACATGGCATAAGGCAGGCTAATTGGGGATGGAACCATGACCTAAGCAGACCAGTGAATGATAGGACATGAGCCATTAAGGGCCAAGGAGACTCCATTCCAGGATTTGCTGAAGCTTTTAGGAAAGAGGATTCTCTCTTTATCCTTAGGTAAAAAGAAAGAAACTCATAGACCTGGGAGCTGCCAAAGTCAACTTCGGGCTGCAAGAGGAGCCTATTTTAGGATGGAAACAACCCTGAGGAACATGTGCTAAGAAATGGACATAGAGGGGAAAAAACAAAAATTAGATCATAGACCCATTTTTCGAGCCCAGGATAAGACCTCATCTGAGTCATTTCCTCTGGATTTATCAAGTAATGGAGCCAATAAATGCTATTTTCTTCTTTTAATCAGTTTGAATTGGGTTTTACAACATAAAGAATTACAATCAAAAAATAACAATTTGAAACAGACCAATTTAAAGATAAAATGGCAAACTTTGGAAATTAATGAATTTCTCATCAAGAGTTCTCAAGCAGGTTAAAATAGAAGAGAAAAAAAAAAATCCAAGCATCAGAAAAGTGGTTTTCTTTCAAGATAATCATCAGTCCTTTTGGTCCTGATTAGTGAATCACAATGCAGAAAGGCCATCTCACCCAGATGGCTAGTAAGTTCACAGACAAGGCAAGTATAGAGGATAAACTCAAGTCCGACACTCAGATTCCCTTGAAATAATTGATTTACCGATAATTACCTCTTTGTTTCTCTACAGGAGTCTTAGACTGTGGGAGCCAACCAGGAGAATAAAAATCACTCTAGACATTCAACTGAGAAGCCAAGCAGGGATAGGATGTATGGAAACCCAGAGATAAGCAGCTGCATGAAGCTGGAGAATTCCCCGGGCAGCAGTTTCAAAGGGAGGAGGTAGTGCTATTGGAGACCAGGGTCGAGGAGAGAAACCAGAACCACAAAGGGCCTGTCCAGTGGAAGGTGGTGCCACGGAGGATGCTCAGGCTCTGCCCGTGATGCTGCACATGGTATAGAGACAGGAGCAGAAATAGCCTGGCTTTCCCCTTCCTCCCACACTCTACTCTCTTGCAAGGGCCTCCCAGTAGCTGACACAGCCAAAAGTCCCTGACCAGGGATCCTAGGAAACACAGCCTGCAATTACCAGCTCTTCTGCAACCCAGGGCAGAGCAGGAGAAGGGCAAGGAGTAAATCTGAGCCAGGGCCCAGCACAGAATCTAACCCACGCTGGGTGATGGAAGCATGTCGACCTCAGTTAGCACTGTCCCTCATTAGCAACGGATGGAATCTTAGCATGTTATTTGTCTCTGCCCATGGTCATATTGAAGCCAACATTCAAGAATATTTGTTAAAGTCCCAATATATCTGTTAAACTTAATGTCATTTGTTCAATCAACTCTTGCTGACGGTTTATGATGGAAGTATTCCACGCTGCTTCTTTAACAGTTTTCCCCATCTCACTAAATGGCAACCCCATCCTACCACTTGCACATATGAAAACCTTGACTTCTTTCTATCTCTCTCACCTCAGATCACATCTGTAAGCAAAGCTCTACCTTCAAAACATATCCAGAAGCTGAATACACCTCCACTTGTGCTGCTGCCACTCGGATCCCGGCCATCGTCATCTCTACATGAATCACTGCAACTGCCCTGTAACAGGTCTCCCTGTCTCTGCTCTTGTCCCTTCTCACCCTACTCCACAGAATGCCCATGGAAATCCTTGGAAAATCTAGGTTTGTTCCTGTCCTGCCTCTGCTCAAGCCTCCAATGGCTCCCATCTCCCTCTGTGTGTTGTAAGTCCAAGGAAATCTTGCAGGAATAAGACCACTTCAGGTCTAGCAAACACACCTTGGATAATTATCCCACTGCCATTAAATCCATGAGATTAGGCTACAGTTTGTGGCTTGAATAAAAAAAAAAAAAAAAAAACAGTTCTGACCATTTGTGCCTGCCATGGCACAAACTACTATTCCATATATCCAAAGCAACATTCCTGAAATAGCATAAATATTTGTTGAAAGGTGTAAATGTTGAATGGGTGGATGGATGGATGGATATATCAAAAAGGTGAGATTAACAGAGCTGATTAAGTGATTTGAGCTGAACAGTAGAGTATTATTTATTAGATTATTTAGATAAGAATTTGGTTATATTATTTAGACAGGACTTTGGGAAAGTAATTCATACAAACTATGCTCTAAGCTATTTATAAAGTAAACTATGTTATGTAACATATTTTTATAAATCTGCAACTTTGTGAGCTTGGATAAAAATAGTTGTAATGGATGAGAATTAACCCACATGATACAGATCTTTCCGAACCAGAATAGACGCTGGGCTCATAGGATGCTGGGAGAAACCAATTTTGATCAAATAACTATAAGTGACATGCATACTACAAGCAGAGACAGAGAGTACTGTGAGAAAGGTAACCATGGAAGCAAATGAGGTCTAAGTGTTTAAGCTGGGACTTAAAGGAGAAGATTATTAGTGCGAAAGGTTCTTAAACTTCAGGATGCCCCAGAATCATCTAGAGGGCTTGTTACAACGCAGAGTGCTGGGCTCAGCCTCAGAGTGTCTGACTCGGTAGGTCTGGGCTGGGGCCTGAGAATTTGCATATCTAATGAGTTCCCAGGTAGACACTGATGCTTCAGTTCCAGAAGCTGCACTTTGAGACCTACAGAGCTAGGTAAAGGTAGAGACCAGGGGCTTTGGAAATGGTCTTCTAGGCAGGGGAATGCATGAGGGAAGCCTCTTGTATAAAACGATAGAATCTAAATAATGCCTTATAATCATTCAGGGTCCCATCAAGAAACACTGATACACTTAAATAGGATCATTTTGGAAAGATTAATGAAGTGACAATTAATAGAGGTTTAGGCAGGGACAGGGAAGTGAACCAGGAATGGGATGGCAAAGCACCAAGGACTAGCAACAAAGTGGCCTTTTCCAGCCCTAAAACTGAGTCTACAACCTGGCAGGGAGGAAGCCAGGTTTGGTCTTCCCCCCAGCTTCCCACTTTACAACCTCATTTCAGAGCCAGTCAAAAGCCAGAAGTCAAAGAAGCTCAGCTGATGCCTCCTAGGAAGTCAGGCTCCTGGGACCTAAAGCAGGACAGATTGGCATGCACAGTGGAAGTGGAAGGGCAAACAGAACACCAGCGCTCACCATGGGCTAGAAAAGATAGGATGGCATGACACTGTGGAAGACTTGGTAACCAGTTTCCTAC